ATCCAATAACTACCACAGCATTATATGTAGCACGGTCTGTTCAAACCTCCTACGGGTTCAGCTTACATGCTGATCTAGAGTTCCATGATATAGGGACCTGCATGCTTACTGGTTTTGTCCTCCTAACTAAGTGCTCTCCCTCAGTAACTTTGGCCTACTTCAGATAGCATTGTTATCTGAACAGTTATAATTAGTGCCCCAGTATTATCATATTCATCCATTATACAAAACTGCTTTCCCCCAGTGTGCCTATAGGTCAGGGATAGGCAACTCCAACCCTGCAGATGTTGTAGATAACTCCCCTGATGTTTTGCCAGCATTATGGTTGTAAGAGCATTATTATTATTATTATTATGTTATTATTTATATAGCGCCGACAAATTCCATAGCGCTTTACAATGGTTGGACGAACAAACATGTAGTTGTAACTAGACAAGTTGGACGCACAGGAACAGAGGGGTTGAGGGCCCTGCTCAATGAGGTTACATGCTAGAAAAGTAAAGTGACACAAAAGGTATTATTATGGGAGATGTAGTCCACAACAAATGGAGTGCCAACGGTTGCCTACCTCTGCTATAGGTGAAATGGCAGCATAGGGAACTCTGTAACAAACAGTAAAATAGAAATAGAATTATAAAAGGTTGGCATGTGACTCCCTTCACACTTTAGAGTCCAGATTTCTAGTGAAAGGTTGGTTTTGTACTGTTGTTTTTGGTTAGTTTCAATGTAACCATTTCAGTATTTCAGTTGCTGCTTTTATTATTTTTTTTATTGGTCTCCAGTCCTGTATGCTTGCATTGAGTCCATCCCGCTGCTCATGACTTTTATGAAGACGTTATGACGAATTCCAACACTGCGATCATTTAATATAGCTGTTATAGCTCTAGTCTCATCTGACTTTGGCCTCGTTTAAATAAGCCTTCCAAATGCTTCAATATATTAAAAACACTTTCCAAATAATTTATCTGCAAAAATTCCCATAGACTTTAATGGTGACTTGTGTAGATAAAACATTAGAAATGCGTTTCTAACAATATTGAAGCATTGGGAAAGCTTATTAAATTGAGGCCTTTTTGCCCAGGTAGCTGACTGTATGTGTGCTTATATGGACCTACAAATATATCATATTAAAAATAAAGGATTAATCATGGTGAGTAATAGTTCATTATCGGAACATGATTAGTTATGCGCCCGCCCACTTCCCATTTCAGGTTAAAACCAGGAAAGAAAAAGTGTAACTTTTCTTCAGCTCCAATATTCCCTTGGTGCTTCCGCCCTGGACATCTTTCCATAACGTCATCCAGCTCTCGAGCCAAATATCCAATCCAATGCTTTTCAAAGAGGAGCTTTGGGGAACGATGCACATTCTTCCCATAGGAAACCACTGAATTCAGTACTATCCTATAAGCTGCAACGACACGTGACCAAGTTTTACTCTGTCGTTGTAGATAAAACGCCTCTGGAAGACAGCCGCTAGAAGTGTTCTACATTGCAGATTTAAAACTACAGGCCCACTGCACCTAAACAGTATTACAAAAGGGTATGTACATGGTGTGGAAGAAAGAAAAAAGAAGCAGCTCAAATACACCTAAAAAGTGGGATCCCATACACCACTATAAATACATGAAAATACATACAAAACAATAGGCGGAGCTGTGTGTAATCTTGAATAATCTGTAAAACAGAATAAATACGAACAAATAGCATAGTATGTCTGTAAAATATTATAAAACAGAAAAAAGAATAGTTGAACTCACAAGGCAAGAGTCATATCGTCATATGACTCTAAAGGTATGCTTCTTTGGACCATTTGGGGGTTGTCCAGACCATTCTGTTGCCGGATTCTTAGTATTCCCCCTTGTATTCTTTAGTAGGTCTCCCAAGGAATACCAGATATTCAGGTGGTCCTTCAATAACAATTTTATTTCAATATAAAATAAAAAAAAAGGTTAAAATTCCATATACCAGATAAAACTGGTTAAAGGTGAGTTTCAATAAAAGTCCAAGATGTGAGAGTCCAAAAAGTTCAAAGTATAAGAGTCCAAAACGCGTTTCGCCTGTTCATTAGGCTTCCTCAGTTGGCTGTAATGTTTTCTCCTTCTTTGCCTCTTTTTAAATATCCCGCCTGTCGTTTTCGTCTAATTTGTGCGTCACTTCCGGGTTCCGTACGTTGGAACTCATGTGCGTTTCAACCACCTACTATTCCTCACTTCATCAACAGCCATCCAGACCGGCCGAGATGTATCTAGTTGGAACGCACATGCGTTCCACATACATTCAGTGTCTCGGTGGATGACAATATAATATTATAACAAGGAGTATTCAATAAATAAAATAGAGAGCAGAGAGATAATAAATGAGAAGTAGTCCAGTAATAAAACACTATATTAAATTCCACAATGTATATCCTTATAAATACAGAGGGAAAGAGACTAGATAGTGATGCAATGGATAGTGTGAATAGCAGTGTTAATTAACATATAAATTGTAATAGAATAACCTACTATACCCCATATGGGGGAAAAAAAGTATTTCCCAGGAGATATAAAGTGCAATATTGTGAATGAATAAAAATATCAATATCAGCTGTTAGATATAAAATAAATGAATATACAAATAAAAATATTTACTATAAAATCATTATGATAAAATACTAAAAACACTATTTGGGGGATAGAGGTTAATTCATAAAGTGACATAGTTCAAAATCATTGTTCAGACCATCTCGTATCATAGTATTAAAATTAAATATAAATTTCATTTCTTCTTTCCCTATTTTGTTAGCATAATCCCCTCCACTCCAATTTTTTTTTTTGCTAGTTTTATTGCACAAAAAAATATCCCTTTTGGGTTCTGTTGATGTATAATTTTGAAATGATTTGAGACACTATGAGTTTCTACACCGTTTCTAATATTTCTTATGTGCTCCGCTACCCTGATGTTCAAACTTCGAATTGTGCGACCTCTGTACAGGAGGTTACATGGGCATTTTAAAACATAAATGACTCCCTTGGAGTGACAGGTTAAATGGTCTTTTATAACAATTTTTTTATTGATGAGGGGTTCTAAATCTACAAGATGCCTTTTTTTACTTTTAGTATCTCTGCATGCCAAACAGTGCCCACATCCATAGAAACCTTTATTCATCGAGAAAATAATTTTTTCGATTGTTTTTTCTTTGTTACTAGTTTGAACTAAAGTATTTCTTAGATTCTTAGCCCCTGAGATGACGTGTTCTAGGTGGCTTTAGTGGTCCTTTAATGTTTTCTATGGGGGCTACCTTTCCTATCAGGCAATGTGGGATTGACTATTGTATTCCCAAGGCTTGTAACATCTCAGTTAACCAAGATGACCAGCATAAACAGGGAGGGAATCTACTCAAGAGGATCCCTTTGTCTCTACACTCCTAGGTTGTTAACATGCTGTGCAGAAATAGCACAAAAACAGCTTTCCAGAAAGTTCCCACCAGAAGATACCTATTTAGCTTTGAAGATAGATGATTTGATTATTAAGGGGCTTATGCACTAAAAAGTGGCACACCTAGCTCATTCTATCAACAGTACTGGCTCCTTTGACACCTGGTGTGCCTTTAAAGCTCAAGATAAGCTGCCTGCTTTGAAAAATGTTTGTTTGTTTGTATGCGTTAGTCAATGTGTGTTAGTGTGTGCCAGTCAGTGTGTCTTTGTGTTTTTGTTTTTCAGTGTGTGTTTGTATGTTTCAATCAGCATTTTTTTTAATGACAGTGAGTTTGTGTGTGTCTTTATGTCATGTGTGTGTCTCTGTGTTAGCCATATGCTATGGGTGATGTCTAGTGCCAGCATCTACAACTTTCACCAGCTGTCTTCAACTTTCACTGAGTGTCACAGAGACTTTACAAATGGTTGAAACAGTTCACAGTGTCAGAGCCAGTGGAAAGGTCAAGAGGAATTATTAGAGAGTACAGCCCTTTAGATTTAGCACCGATGAAACCATTGTGAACACGGTTACAAAAGTTTTAGTAGAGTTCCAAGAGTAGAATCCTCATTAAAGAGGATCAGGGGTTGCCTTCTGACCATGTACAAGCCTTATATAAGCTGTTCCATGAACTTAGAAACAAAAAAGATTTTAAAGCTGTAGGACCATAGCTGGAAAGGAAATTAATGCTTCCTGAAAATTTGTTTTGCAACAAACAGGTGGCAACCGGTGAGAATCATGAAAAGGAAACTATTGGGTGGAGTTGTAACTCCTTTTGTTAATGTATTACGGTGATAACACAAGGGTAAGAAAAGTTTAGAATCATTTACCTGTCAATCCCTTATTTTATTCAAATATGAGGCTTTACCAGGAACCAAGAAAGGGGCTGAAAATTGTGTCAATTTTGTCTCTCAGTTTGTTTTCAATAGGACAATATAATCATATCCGATTAACACTTTTGCTGCAAGTGTTTATGGGATATGTAAGTCAGCATTCTGTAGCAGTTCTATTTACGCAAAAAAAACATGAATATACTGCAGAAGCTAATGGAAGCCATTCATATAAAGCTAGTTGCACCATCCCCTGTGGTACTGATAGTATTGAAGCAAAAGGAAGGCTAAAAAATGTCTGTAAAATAGAGTGATGACTGCACGGCTTGCCATGTATTCATTTCATAGAAGTTCTCGTTTAGCATTATTTCTGAGGAAGCTGCAACAGGGGAGCTCCTTTTATCATAATTAGCTTTTAGTGGCCTTGGGTGAATCAACCACATTTTTCACGATGTTGAATGCTCCAAAAATGTTGTCACTGATGATGTCGAATGAATCAGTAAAATAAGTAAAAGTTTTATAACAAATTTAGATTTTCCACTCAAAATAATCGAGTTTTCAACTCATTTGGCACCAGTGTCTATTAAAAAAAAGGGTACTGATGCCAAATGTCCCTTACACAGAAACCCAGACCAGTAAGAAAGCAGTTAACAAGTACGAGCATATCTTTTGAAAACACATTGTTATCACTTCACAGAGACTCAGTACAGCACATGAGCTACATTCCTTACCAAAAGAGGCAACACTCAATATTCTCTCTCCATTTTCCTTGCTTATCTACATACACACAAAATACGCAACATGAATGCTACTCATCTTGCTTCTCTTATATCCAAATGTGTCCTTCAAATCCTGGAAAAGCCACCAGAAAAAGCGACAAACGAAACTAGTGAAAAGCCGGAGCCGTATGACAATGCATATTTTTTTATATTGTTTGTCATGCTTTTTTATTCTTTCCTAGCCCTGACTGTCTTTTTTGGCTACATTCGCTCCAAAAAAGAGACCCAGAAGAAAGATCCCTATGAAGAATTTATAGATGGGAAACATAAAAAGCAGAAATGGGGAGAACCAAGACCCACTGAGAAACTTGAGAAGTTTGATTTTGAGGAAGAAAGCATACCTTAACTAACAATGTATATCACCAGAACAAGCTCAAAGAGTTCTGCCTTGACAACTTCATAAAGAGAGTCTACACTGGTGGATTAAGGTTTGGGAATACAATACAGTGTTGTACATGATTATTGTCCTTGTGCTACTGGAATCCAGCTGGAATTAATTGTGGAATATGCATGGAATCTGGAATACAGACAAAATTTACAATCAAAAGGAACATATTACAAGGATTAGAAATTGTTTTGTGTTCCCTCATTATGGAACATCAGACTAATATTGTGCCTACTAAATACCTTTTCATGAAGACCATCTACTGGTTTTTGTTTATAGTACGTTAGAGTGTTTGCATTGTATGAAGCCAGATGGTGTACAAAGAAATAGGAAGACATAATCTAACGTCATGTGTGGTTATGAGAATATTTCACTGAACATTTTGAATTGGGATGCTTCTGAATAATCACCAAAAATAAACTTTCGCTGAATTTGATGGAAAAGTGAATTTCCTAACGCTAACCTAAAATGATCACCTGTCACCTGTGTCTGTAACATAGCTTTTAAGACTTGTGTGGTGGACCCTATTTTTTGAGTTGTTTGATACACTCTAAGGATTCTACTGCTTGTGTTATAAGTTTCCAATCATAAAAACGAAGTCAACAAAATGTCCTTTTCCCGGTGTTAAGAAGTTTGAAAACCATGGCATGTTAGAAAATTATTTGTTGTTTATTAAAAAAAGTAATTGATTTGGAATTAATGTTGTACATAAAATGGTAACATTGAGATTTAACTATACCATTTAAGTGACAAAAGTCATTTAAACTGAATAGCCGTGTCAGATGGTTTTTTTGTTGCCATGAATCGATGTTGCATGATGCTAAACTGTTCCATAAAACATAAATTGTCCCTTGAGCTCTATTCATTATTTTATCAATAATGATTGTATTTCGCCATCTAAGTAAAATGAGTTTGCAATGTTCCACATGGTAATTTGCTGCACTTGAAAATAGCTAGAAACTCACTATCTAGAAAGTTGATTTTTTTTTTTTTTGTAATCAAAGATTAAACTAAGCATCTGAACATTGCCAGCACATTACTTTATAATTCTATAATGTTATTTAATGTTAAATTATCTAAGTGGAAAAATAAATTAAGAAGTGTCATGACTCACTCACACTGACCTTCTCGATAAAAGCAGAAGCACAGGTCAGCTAATTTCTTGTTCTGTACTGTGTGTTCCAATATATTTAATTTACAAAAAAAAAATAACGTCTGGCTTTCCTTGTGAAAATCATGAAAGGGGGAGGAAGTATCTACATCATGGGTGTCCAACCTTTTGACTTCCCTGGGTCGCATTGAACACAGATGAATTGTCTTGGGCCACACAGCAAATATATAATATAGATTATATATAATGTATATAAGTAATATCTTTAAAAGCCCTTTTCTGAATTTTGATATTTCAATTGTTTAGTAGATAACCCCTTATTTGTTATACTTGTGTTGGATTGGCATATATTGAAGGATATCAAATTAGGGAGCTATCTACTATACATATACACGTGTGTATATGTATGCAAACATAACCACAGCTACACACACATACAATCACAGACCTATATGCATAATTACAAATACACACACACACACACACACACACATACAATCACATACCTATACACACAGTCACATACATACACACAATCACAAATATACACACACACACACACACACACACACAGACATACAGACACAATCACAGACCCCACATACAATCACATACATACTTAAATAATCAGTCGCAGACCGCCACACACACATACACAGATATACCCACACACAATCACAGACCTATACACACATACACATACATACACCCACAATCAGACCTACACACAATCTCATACCTATATACACAATCACAAACATACACACATACACAAACATAATCACAGATCCACACATATAAAATCACACACCTATACACACAATCACATGCATACAAACACATAATCACAGACACACACACAGTTACAGATGCACACACATAATCACAAACTTGGGTGGGTGGGTGGGTCGGGGGACTGTGAGTGGGTAGGGGGGCTGTGAGTGGTTAGGGGGACTGTGAGTGGGTAGGGAGGCTGTGAGTAGGTTATGGTTCTGTAAGATGGGTAGGGGTTCTGTAAGGTGGGTAGGGGGGCTGTAAGGTGGGTAGAGGGGGTTGTGAGTGGGTAGTGGTGCTGTAAGGTGGGTAGGTGTTCTGCAAGGTGGGTAGTGGGTCTGTATGGTGGGAAGGGGGACTGTGAGTGTGTAGAGGTTCTGTAAGGTGGATAGGGGGACTGTGAGTGGGTAGGGGGGCTCACTGACTCACTGACAGACAGACAGACAGACTGACAGATACACACACACACTCATTCACCGACAGACACACACACTCACTCACAGACACACACACTCACTCACAGACACACACTAACAAATATACACACACATAATCACTGACAGGCAGACACACACACATCACACACACACTGACAGCCAGACACACGCATATCACACACACACACACATTTCCCCCAAACACTCACAGATTATTTTTTTTTAAATTCACCCAGCCTTCCTACCTTTGGGAGAAGTGGGTGGATTTTTCCCCTGGGGTTCAGTGGGGCTGCTGGCCGGGCTGTGCGGGCAGGAAGGAAGGCGGCGGTTAAAGTCCAGGGTCTTATTCCAACTCACAGGATTACTCTGTGGCGAGTGAGGGAGCTGAGGAGGGAGAGCTCATAAATCAGCGCACCCTCGCCACCCGACCTGGACTTTAACCACCCGCCTGCTTCGTGAGAATATAAGTCCTGCAGAACCACTAACGGGAACGGTGTTCCTGCTGTGGAAAAAGTGCAGGAATACCTATCTATATAGAGCGCTCAGACGGCTGCCGCACTGCCTCTCTTCTCACCTCCCCTTCCCTGTGCAGAGTGGGTGGCCGAGCTCCTCTTCGTCCTGTCAGTCCGGCCGGGTACCGCGCGGTACAGGAGATTCAGTTACCTGTTCCCGGCCGGACTGAAAGGAAGTGCACACTGAGTGCTCACTTCCTTTCAGTCGGGCCGGGAACAGGTAACTGAATCTCCTGTACCTACCCGGCCGGACTGACAGGACGAAGAGGAGCTCACACCCACTCTGCACAGGGAAGGGGAGGTGAGAAGAACGTAGGGAGGATTGGGGGGGGGGGAGTAAAAAGAATGGAGGGGGGGAGTAAAAAGAATATATCGCAATTAGCCTCCTGTGTGCTAGACCAGCAGGCATGGATTATATGCCCAAACAGCCTGGCACATACCTGGGCTTTAAATGCTATTTCAGATTATCATTATTTAATGTCTTGCTGTGTAGCTCTGTCTGCTCACTGTATATCATGGCTAATTTTTATTTGGTGTGCATTGGAAGAGGGGTAGTCTTATACGGCGAGTATATCCCAAACTCTATATTTTAACTGGAAAAGTAGGGGGTCGTCTTATACGCCCAGTCGTCTTATACGCCGGAAAATACGGTATGTATTTTGTATGCCCTGCACCCTTTTTACACAATCTGATGCATTATGCTATTAAAAAGATTACACCAAGCACCATGACCACTTTAGTGTTTTGAATTAGTCATGGTGCTTGTTGTCTATATGTGCAGTGTTTCATACTGACATAGATATTTTATATTGCTGCAGGAGGTATAACTCCACCCCTAGTGGAAACATGAGTATATAACTAGCCACGGATAAGAATTAAGAAATCACAGGGTACCAGGCAGGATACTGTTTTGGGGCGCCAACCTCCATTCTTCATACGGGGATAGTTAATGAGGCCGAGCATATTCATTGTGCCAGGGCCCTGTCTTTCCCTATCTCCTTATTAGCAAAAAACAAGAGTTCCAGGCTGGCTAATGTCAATTCTGTACATATTCTATACACAGAAGGTAATTTATTAAGCTGCTATTGTGGGACCCTTGGCACCTGGCGTAATACACTTAAAGGACCACTATAGTGCCAGGAAAACATACTCGTTTTCCTGGCACTATAGTGCCCTGAGGGTGCCCCCACCCTCGGGGACCCCCTCCCGCCCGGCTCTGGAAGGGGGAAAGGGGTTTAAACTTACCTTTTTCCAGTGCTGGGCGGGGAGCTCTCCTCCTCTGATCCTCCTCCGTTCCTCCTCCTGGGCTGAATGCGCAAGCGCGGCAAGAGCTGCACGTGCATTCAGCCGGTCTCTGAAACTGCTATGTTTATGAAAAAATGGGTTAACCCTAGCTGGACCTGGCACCCAGACCACTTCATTAAGCTGAAGTGGTCTGGGTGCCTAGAGTGGTCCTTTAAGAGGACAAATCATTGCAAACAGATTGCATCATTACCGGGGAACTCAAGCATAGGATTATGGTGCTTGAAGGGACTTTGGAAAGGACCATACCAGAAATTTAACTGCAACCATTTTGTAGTCATTTCCTATAATGACCTTTTGTAGAATTATATTGTGTAGTAGGTCAGTATGTGACATCATCAGAAGTCAGTCCACGCCACAATCAGTCCAACCACTTCTAATATATTCTACTTCCTAATATACACACTGGGGATTAGACTAAGGCTTGATAAACATTGGCCTGCTCCCGTAAATATAACTGGCAGCTTCCGCCCCATTCATGCATCACATGTGTACATGGATAAACAATCATGAAATAATGGTACATGTTCACATTGTTCTTGTTCCCACAACCAACATCAAAAACTGGAGAAATCTATAAAATACCTAAAATTGTCTATTTTGTTGACGTTTCATTAAACGTTTATTATGATGCACCTTTGCAGGTTATTTTAATGCGGCTTTGTGGGAAATGTCTTTTACATGCACTTTTACACGACAGTTGATCCAGTTGGAGACATGTGCAGTTAACATCAGCACATTCTCCCAGCAATCAGCAGTGAGCTTCAGGTGATAGTTTATCACTGCTACCTGGTGGGCATCATCTAAGGTATGTTGTTATCGTTAAGTTTCTTAGTGATGCCCAACTAACCTTTTATGTGAGTCATTTAAAGGCTCCATGTGCTGTGGGTCTTGCTGATCATGGTTAGACTAGGTAGTTGCTGGAATGTCTCATGAATGAGGCGTTAGTGCCTAATCTGAGTGTGTTGGAGGACTTACTGTTGCTGGTTACATTTATCTGTCTACCATACTCTCTATATTGCTGGAGAGAGTGTACTTTCCCATCTATCCTCATTACCTCTCTCTCTTGCTATGCACCCATTTTGCCATTGAGATCTTCTCATATGTGCCAGCCCTGGCATCTACACAGTGTGGGCAGCATTGGGAGGCCTTCAAGAGCCCTTATACATACCAACCATGTTATGTGGCAGACTATTGCTGGATGACTTTTGGAGGCAGTCTAGTAATTCCCCATAAAGTTTACCCTAGGCATAGCATCACTTTAATGCAGAGAACATCTTCGTCATAAAACAGGACTGTATATATGGTGATCGCCCATGAGCTGGGATTTATATTTTTGGCTGTAGCTAATGCAAGGATTAGTTTAAGGAAAATGAGAAAGTTTAGATTTAAGAATGATGAAAAAAAAAAAAAAGGAACGAAAGTTTAAAAATCTATGTTTTTACGTTTATTATGCAGATATTTATTATGCAGATATATATAGATATTTTGGCAGGGACTTGCAAACAAATGGTCTGATGTAAGTACCCTCGGAGGTCTATATAACAACAATTATTTACATAGTGTCAACATATCCCACATCACTGTACAACAGGTTAACAACACAAAAAAAATCTAACAACACGATTGACCTGCAGGAACAGTAGGTGAAGTGGGTCCAGCCCAAACAAACGCACAATCTAAAAGGATAAGGGACAAGTACACAAAGGCAAGTGAGGATATCAAATGATCAATATGTACCTGAAGGCTGTGCGGGGTAATCGGTACAAGGGAGCATAGTAGGTGGGAGGTGGCAGGGGAAGGTTGTAAGAGATGAGCTAATAGACTTCTATAAAGAATTGTGATTTTTGAGATCTTTCAAGATCTGTAGAGACTGTGAGAATAGACTGTAGTGTGGGAGGACATTCCACAAGGAGAGGGACACCTTAGAGAAGTCCTGCAGGTGAGAGTCTGTAGTGCAGGTGCGAGAACAGGATATAAACAAGTTGTTGGTGGAATGAAAAGACCAAGCAGTAGCATTTTAATATGGGCATGTTTGTAGGTAAGCATGAGACGTTTGAACAGAACCCTTCATGAAGTATGATATATACTTTAATGTAGTGGATTTGGCGCCCACCAAAAAAATTATATAGATAATTAACACAACTTATACATAAACCCACCCTCATACTTTTGAAACAAAACTGCTAAAATGTATTCTAAGTCATCAATAAATAATTTGTAATTGGCACTTATTCAATCTAAGTGGAATATGCAATCAATAAGTGCTTATCTCGTAGACACTACAATATTTGCAAGCTGTTCCCTCTTATTACACATCAAAACATGTATTGAGAAAAATAAAAATTGGAACACTTGTTATTCTTATGAATAATTTTTATTATTTATTTTATTTTATAAAAAATGGCATATAAGCCTTGACGAATCCACAGTATACCAAGAATGATAAATAAAATACAATGAATCCTCTTAAACATAATACACTGGAGGTGTAGACAAGTTTGTATACACTATTATATGATAATTATAAGTAAAGTAGTAATCATTCCATAAGACAAAGAGAAATTAAAAGAATCTGTAGTCCAGTATCTTACTAAGAATATGTTTTGTATTGCATGTATGTTTATCTATAAAATATATGTAGTTATGTATATGTTTAACAGGAAATCAGGGATGCTCACATTTACCAGAGCTCCAAATTAGCTCTAAAGAATAGGAGGTTCAGTGTACAACTCAGCCATTAAGGGGTTACAGCCAAAGTTTAGAAACTAACAGTTTGGTGGCTTAATAAAATACTTTTAACCTAGGCTTTTCTTTGCTTTTTCTTTGAAAATATTTCATCAATCCTCTTTATTTTGTGTTTGGTCATTACCTGTTACATTCAATCAATTTTGATTAAACTAGAGTCCAAACATATTTTCTTCATAAAATTTGTTCTCAAATAATAAATTCTTTTGAGAAATTGTTTTATTTATACGTCAGTGGATCCGTTTTTTTTTCACCCTTCTATATAACGGTGTTCCAGAAATACTCAACCTATCACTGATCAAAAGTGACAGCAAATATAGAATACTTTAGCTAAACCCCAACTGCTTAAAAATTAAAGACTCCAAAATGTTTTCACTGCTTTACAGAGTTTGGCACTTTTAATACTCTTAAATATCAGCTAAAATGTGGTCCAGGAAAGAAGCATTTATCATACAAACCAGCAACAGATTATATTCTTGAAGACATATGTACACATAGACTACAATCAGTAATGACATGATTAAAAAAAGTTTTTTTTCTCCCCAATTAGTTAATTAGAACCTTCATATTTAAGCTTTTTACACAACCCATATTCTATGCAAGGTCCCAGTAACTTTGTGGAATCCACATAAAACTTTTACCTTTACGTTCCAGGCCACTGCTGTGAATATCACTGCAAAGTGAATCATTTGCTAGTGTATATAAAAACCATGAAACATGTTTACACCATCAAATATTATATGTATATTAGTGCTAGACTCTAGAAAAGGTAAAGTAAAAACAATGAACGCAAAAAAAAAGTTACCACCATGTGTATTGCTAATCTTGAAACTGTGGGAAAAATGGAGATTCTTTATTTGTATATACCGGTAACTTAAAAGTTCTGTATTAGTAAAGATTCTCAAAGTGGAGCGCCATCAAGTGAGGCACTGCCGTATTCAATTAATTAATATTTCAATTAGCAGGACAATAAGACACATAGTGAGTTCAACAACTAAAAAGACTTGACTACATTATTTTTCTAACAATTAACCAATATCCCAAAGTATTTGGATGCTTGTATTTCTATTTATTTGGGCGTGAGCAGAATAATCACAAATTAACAAAGTAACAATAATATAACATTGTTACTGTGACATTAATGCAACATATCAAACTTGATAATGGTCATATGCACACAAAAGTTCAGTTTAGAGGTTTCTTAAAGCAATACACCGAGACTGCAATGTCTAAAAATAATATAAAGGTTAAAGGAACAATATAGGGTCAGAAACAGAAACATGTATTTCTATAGTGTTAAAACCACCATCTAGCACTCCCTGGTCCCCACTTGCCTCCTTAAATATAGTAAAATCTTACCCTTATACCAGTCTGCTGCTATTGGCACTGCCCCTGGTCTGTCTGCTTGGCTGACATCATCAGAAGTGGTAGCCTGATCCAATCACAATACTTTCCCATAGGATTGGCTGAGACTGTCAAGGAGGCAGATCAGGTGCAGAGCCAGCATGATTCAAACACAGCCATGGCCAATCAGCCTCTCCTCATACAGATGAGCGGAATCAATGCATCTCTACGAGGAAAGTTCAGTGTCTCCATGCAGTGGGTGGAGAAACTAAATGGCAGTGCTGCTCACGGTGCATATCTAGTAGCCATCTGAGGAGTGGCCAGTGGAGTTATCACTAGGCTGTAATGTAAACACTGTGTTTACTGCAAAAAGCCTGAAGTTAATGTTTTTACTCACCAGAACAAGCTAAGTTGTTCTGGTGACTATAGTGTTCTGGTAGCAAACTCTGGTGACTATAGTGTCCTGGTGTTCTGGCAGCAAACTCTGGTCACTATAGTGTTCTGGTGACTATAGTGTCCCTTTAATGACATAGCTGTCCCCTTTTTGCATCATCAATGCACTTGGCTGCTTGCCAACTTCTATCTGTGTTGTCTCTGACAGCCCCAAAAACTTAGGGCACTTTTTTTGTTTTTGTTTTGTTATTAACCTCACAATATCTACTAAGCTTGACATTTTTAAAATTCACAACAAAATGTTATGTCCTATTCAAAGACACAATTTTCTGGCTTCGTTGGCATTGGAAGTAGTAAAATGGTTTGTAAACTTCAGATTTACTATACATTTACCTCATAGTTGAGAAATGTTTCAAACAAGAAGATGAGGTTTCTGTAATGTTAGTATTTAAATGCAGTGTTAGTATTGTTCTTTTTAGTGCTGGTGTTTGAATACAGGCTTGTGTTTATTGTAGTGTCAGTGTTTGACTGTAGCAGCAGTGTGTTTGTTTGCAGTGTTAGTGTTTTAATGCAGGGGTGTGTTTGTGTTTTATGATGGTGTTTTCATACAAGCAAATACTCACTTATACATATGCACATTTCCACACACATATGCACATCAGCACAAAGATGCACACAAACACATACACACAGAGATACACACTGACACACATATTGTCAAACATGAACAGGTACACTGACACACAAACACACACATGCACACGCACAGATACACACACTAATACACGTGCACATATACATATGCATGCACACAGGGCCGGTGCTTGGCTTTTTAGGTACATAGGCGAAGATGCATTTTTCCGCCCCCCCCCCCCTCAAAAAAAACCATCTTCACCTATGTGCCTCTTAACCAGCCCCTCTCCCCTCCCTGACCATTAGTAGTCCCTTCCCTTCCCTGTCCCTTAGTGTTCTTCTCCCCCCCCCCTCTTTTCCCTG